TTAACTAAAAATGAATTAGATTTAAACGGAAATGCCAAACTATGAAATCTTTAGAAAAACACACAGGAGAAAACCTTTGGGGTCGAGCTAGGGACCTTCGTGACCCGACACGGAAAGCACGACCGAGGAAGGCAGGCTGACACGTAGCATCCGCCGGACTTTAGAACTTTTGCAACTCAAAAGACCCCGTTAGTCCACGAAAGGAAACGACCCCGAGGTCCGTGGACAAGCGAACGGTTAAAGCCACAGTAGGCCACAGGCAACGACAGGGACAAACTGACAGGAAAGCACCCAGATGGAACTCCGAGAATCACGCTGACCGGGAACCGCCAATTCCAAACATCACACATCACGACCCCATTTGCGTAATATCCCGGAAATGACAGTTATGGAAACGGAAAACAGAGCAGTGGTGGCCAGGGGTTCCACAAGGGTGGGGCAGAGGGGACGTGGTGTCACTACAGAGGGGCAGCAGGAAAGGCCCCGTGGGGACAGACACACACTTGTGTCGGCAACCTGCGACGATGTGCTGTGCTTGACGAGGGGTGATCACTGGGGACCTGGCTGGAAGACACACGGATCTGTCACTCCTAGCTGCTGCCTGCGAGTCTACAGTTATCTCGAAATCGTGAGCTGACCAACCCGGGGTCCCACAGGTACGATGAGAGGCGGAGGGAAAGGCAGCTTCTTGGCCGCCGAGCATGGAGGGGGACAGCAGGCAGATGACACAGCGCGCACTCTGGATTCCTCAGAGGTGCTCTGCCCAGAACCCAGGGTCGCTGAGGGGCCTCTGCTTCCCTTCCGTCGTCCCTCTAACGTGGGGTGATCCGAGGGGCCCCCTGTCCCGGGCGCAGAGCCTGAGGGAATCCAGAGTCCGGCGAGGGCGGGCGGGGCGGCCACGGCAGGAGCGAGCGAGTCCCCCCACGGGAGCTCAGCCAAGCGATGGTGACACACGTGAGGTGGAGATGCTCTCAGAACACAATGGACGGACACAAATGTGACAGAGAAGCAGCTCTACCTGCTAGTTAAAAACTAAATGGCAGGAGAAACACATATTTCCCAACAATCAGACTTCAGAGCACGTGACAGTGCCGTGCCGACTTTCCCCAGAGCATGCTGGAAAAGCCGCACGTCCCGTCCGGGCGCGTCCTCAGCTCCGGTAAGCAGAGGCTATGTGTCCATACCTCCGACTGTGAGCATTCGAAGTCGGTCCTGGAAAACGGCAAGGTCTGAGGGCGGGGACGCGGGGCGCGGGAGGAAAAAGACAGGCGGGTTAGTCAGGGCCACACCCCCAGCGGCACCGGCGCGCGGGACGCAGGACGCGGGAGCACGGACACGCAGACAGACAGACACTGGAGGGGCACGGGGACGGGCAGGATGGGGAGGACGGCCGAGGGGAAGGCTCGCGCTGGGAGAGCTCCTCCCCAGGTCTGATGGGCCGTGGGACAGGGCGCATGGGGCCAGGGGCAGAGTGTGGTCGCCATCCCGCTCCTGCTGTCACGTCCTGCTCGTGAGTGCGCCAAAGGCTGTGTCGCGCCTGGCAGGAACTGATTCATCCCTGCTGCTGGGGACAACAGCACCCACCAGAGGCCTCGGGCGGCAGCGGCTCTGCCCCAGGCGGGATGGAGGCTCCACTTTCCTGCCCTGGAACCCGACACAGGACCCGGTGTCGCTGCCCCACCCGCCCCGTCCCTGGGGGCCGCACCTGCACCATCTCCGTGAAAAACCAGAAGGCAACGTGATAATGTCCACGCTTGTTCCCAGGGTGCCGGGCACGTGGCTGCTGTTGTTTCTATCTCTACAGCTGTCCCCTCCTCTGTGGGCTCAGTCATCCCCCGTCAACCCTGGCCCAGATATATCAAACAGAAAACTCTAGAAGTAGACAACTTGTAAGTTTCCAAGTGCACACTATTTTCAGTAGCGTGATGAGACTGCGTGGCCGGCTCCATCCCACCCAGAACGTGACTCGTCCCCACGCCCAGCGGGGTCACGCCGCCCGTCACCGAGCAGTCGTCTTGGTGAGCGGAGCGAGCAGGACCGCGCTCACGGAACTTTTACTGCAGTACCGTCCCAACTGCCCCGTCTCCTTGTCCGGTGTCGGTCATCTCACTGTGCCGAATTTACAAACTAGCGCCATCGCAATTTTGTGCACAGGGGACAACAGCTTGCAGGGGGCTGGGCTCTACCCACAGCCTCGGGCACCCACTGGGCATCTTGGAACAGATCCCGTGGCTAAGGGGGCGTCTGCACTTAGGTATTTTTAAAATAAACCGCAAAGAACAGACACGAACCAGAGGGCAGGAAGGGCAGATGCCCCGGCCGCCGGGCTCTGAGCGCGCAGGTCGCCCCGCCCGGCCCGTGGAGACGTGAGAGCCGTGTCTGCTGGACACGGGGTGCTGGGCCGTGGCCACGGGGCACGATCGGGAAGGCACCCCACACCCGAGATCGCGTCCCAGTGCGACGGTCAAGCTCAGCCAGGGTGCACCAAGGCCCCCATCTCCCCAACCCCCCGCTGCTGCGCCCACAGCGCCATCCCACATGCAGTGTCCTGTCCCGTGGACAGGGGCAGGCCTCGACTTCAGGGGCCGGGGAATGTCTGAGATGTTGGCACAGGACCTAGGCCGGCACTTCCCAGAGTTAAGTCCCCCTCACATGGCGCCTTGCTGGAGACACTGAGCGGACCACGGCCCGCTTCCGCTGCGCACGGGCATTCTGCCTTCGCCCGGGCCTGCTGACGTGTGGCCGTGGGCATCTCCCGCCTGTTTCCCCACACCTACGAAGGAGGCGTGGGGGCCCCGGGCTTGGGCAGCGGCGGAGGACCCAGGACCCCTCACAGCCACGTGCTCCCCCAGTCCACACGTAGGCCCACTCCTGCGCCGCCGCGTCCCGTTACTCGGGCGCAGCCCCATCCTCGCCACTGACCACCACGAGACCTGGCATGTCACCCTACCGCGTGCCCCGTTTCTGAGTCTCCCTACCAGAGAGTCCAGCACCACTGCCCAAGACCGCCGACAGTCGCCCAGCCCTCACCCTGGCGGGGCTCAGGAGGCTGCAGGTGCCATCCCGAGGAGGTAACTGAGTTCTGAACAACCTGGCCAACGAGGGCTGCTGCTGTCTCGACCCGTGCCCACCACGGCGCGTTTCCCCTCAGACTCTCGTACTTTCGGGGTTGACACTATTTGCGATTCCGCACCTTCGTGAAGAAAGAATTGATAACCTTTATGTCACACTATTTCAAATTCTTGGGATGAAATGTATTTTCTTCTGCAAAGGGGGGCTGCTTCACGACTTTCTCTGAGTGGTTCTGAAGGGCTCTGGGCCAGAGGCGGCTGCGTCTCTTCCTCCAATGAGCTTAGGAGGCTCTGGGGCCACTGCTGTGTGTCCCTGGTTTGCAATGTCCACTCTCACCATGAGAAGCACAAACACTCAGAGACACCGTTCCAGAGTGGGACGTAAAGCAAGGCTGCGATGGCCGAGAGCTAGAAAGGACGAAAGAGGCGCTGCCCCTGCCCGAGGAGCTGAGGGCTGGGGCGCTGGGCAGTGCCACAGGCCTGAGTCCTCACTGCCAGGCTCCCTGTCCGGGCCTGTCGCTGTGGCACTGCTTGGTCTGACCAGCTGCAGGTGGCATAGAGGAGACTTCTAGGGTCCCCAGGCCGTTCTAACAAGAGTGAGCAACCACTAGAAAAGGTCCATTTTGACACTGAGGAACGGCACCCACAGATGCCACTGGGCGAGGACACCCCGCCCTCCCACGGGCCCTTCTGGTCTCTTCAAATGCTTTGCCACGTTAGAGCTGGGCCAGGTCCGCAGACCTCGAGCTCTGAAAAGGGCCCCCTGCAGGGCTGTGGGCCAGGCCCCTGCCCGGAGGACTCACGGTGCCCAGGAGGCTTCAGGACAGGTGAGCACAGGTGTGTCGGGCCGGGGTGCTGCAGGGCTACGTGGTGGGGAGGAGGGAGGAGGCTCCGGGGCCCTAGGGGACACTGCACAGAGAAGCCCACTTCTGGGAGCAGGAAGCTGTCACCTCCAACTATAGTCTACGACCTGAACCGGCCCTATTCAATGATATTCAGGGGGGCTCCTCCAACCTGTCCCCCTAAGGGACTGAGAGTAGGGGCAGCGCAGAGAAACGCCGTCTTGTCCACGCATGTCTGAAGACAGAGCTGCGACCAACCTGCTCACCTGAGGGCCCTGGCCCGCCAGGTTACCGCTGGCCACGCCTACGAGGGCACAGGGGTGAGACTGTCCCCTCCCACAGAGCTGCGTCAGGCAGGGAGAAAGTTGTCAGTGTGATTAGCATGCACAGTGTTTCCTGTGAAACCGCCCATTTTGAAACCGATCACGTCGTTATTTCTGTAGCTCTGGTTAGCAGCGCGGTGACAGACAGGGTTAACCTGAGGGGCGGCTGCGCTGTGAGCCCAGCCACGTCCTGCACACACGAAGCAGCGGAGGGGTGCGCGTGAGCGTGACGGCCACCTGTGCCCCACACGAGTGCCTCCTGCACACTGGGGACGCCTTGCCAGTTTCCTCAGTGTGATCACCGGCATTTAAGCATTGAGACCCAATGTGTCCTCGCTCTGGACTCCGCCTGTCACAGGCAGGCCACGCCGTGTGGCGGAGCGGATGGCCCGTGACAGGAGGCAGAGGCAGCACTGCACTGAGGTTCGGGACCTGCAGCCAGAAGAGCGAGTCACTGGATAACCTTCTGACCCGCTGCCCAGGGGCATCATCTTTTTCCCTGAGTCACAAACCGTTTTGGCCCCAAATTTCACTTTCCAATTTTGACACTCAGACAATCGAACTCATACAATCTGGCTGAAAAGCTGGGATAAAAATAACTCGCCCCAAACACGCGAGGCTCGTGAGGCTGCATCAGCGATAGATTCCAAGTGATCAGAACGAAGGAAACTGAAGAGCCTCGCCCTCTGCCCGCGCGGCCCTGGCCGCCACGGCGGGGGCACAGAGGCGCCGAGCAGCGCGGCGCTGGCCGCTCAGACCCTCACCAAGTTTGTCTGTGGAGGAGATAATGTCGGCGGGCACGGAGGAGTCCAGATCGGCATCCAAAATTCCCAGGGGGTCCAGCTGTGCTACATGGTGCCCTCGTATCTACGAAAGGGCCAGCGATGGAGAGGGAAGGACACACACAAGAGGACAGGAGAAAAAAAAGAGGGAAGGGGTAAAAAAAAGTAAAATTACATTAAAATTAGCGTTTACAGATTAATTCTCACCCACGTTTGAAGAAACAGTTACTGGAGCACCATCAAAATTTACACAACTAATTCCGAGAGGATCAAGTTTTGCAATGTGGTGACCCCTGACCTGGAAGCAATAACACAAGCAGTCATTAAACAGATCCCGCGAGCTGTGGGTAAAAGTCACACCTGCGCGCCTTCCCTGAGAGCACCCGCGAACCCCAGACAAAGCTGACTTAACGAGCCTCGGGCGCCCGTGCTAAACGCATCCGTGAGGATAAGCTCCGCCGGCAGTCCAGGAGGCCCTGTCTCGGGGTCCTCACCGATTCCCTGGATAAAAGGAAATGGGCTCTGCTGGGGACTGCCACCCAGTGTGATGCTCAGTCAGCTCAGGCCACGAAAAAGCCCCTGGAGGAGGAGGGCCGGCGGGCGGCACAGAGCCAGGCTGGGGGTGGCCCGGGGGGCCAGCTGAG